AGTCTGATCGACGCGTTTGAGATGTGGTGCTGGAGGAAAATACTGCAGATTCCCTGCACGGCTCCTTAAGACTCTTCACCATTTGCCTACGTAGGATTTTAGAGTTTTTCGGTCACCTTGCGAGGAAAAAGGGTGACAATCACGAAAAACTTCTCATCACCGGCAAAGTGGAAGGAAAGAGGCCTAGGGGGCGTAGTCCCATGCGCTGGTCCGATTAGATTAAGACGACTTTGGAATCCAGCATCAATGTCGCTATCCACTGCGCGGAGGACAGGAGTGAATAGAGGAACATACTCCTAACAAAAAAAGGTCACGACTCTCAGAACTGAGGAATACGACGCACAGAGAGAGAGAGTACATACAAAAATACGGGCCGTACCTCATCATATTATTATATTTTTTTAAATAAAATAAGTACTTCATTTCTCAGCGGAAACAACAAAGACTAAAAAAATATTAGTAATTAAACATTAAAATTACAATACCTTAATAGTCTTACTGAAAGAACGTGCTTCCTGTTAATATATAAACTCAATGCAAAACTTAACTCAAATATCGCATCGTCCAAGAAAACAATGCTTCGGACGGAAGGATAAACTCAAATTAACCAACTTATTTTGATCCATCAGTGGATTCACAATATAGTGCATGCTAGAACAATTTTATATTGAATTGAGTCTATAGAATTTGACAGCTTATTCTGCGATGACCACACCGCAACAAGGACCTATTTGTTTGTGTCCATTGGACGCAGACTTAAACTTATTTTTTTTTTATGGCCCTTGTAGGCAGACTAGCATACGGCCCACCCGATGGTGAGTGGTTACCGTCGCCCATGGACTTCAGCAATGCCAGGGGTAGAGCCAAGCCGCTGCCTACCGCTTAATACTCTCCACAAGCCTCGTTTGAAGAAGGACATGTCATAGCGCTCGGGAAACACCGTGGAGGGGAGCTCATTCCATAGCCGGATGGTACGTGGCAAAAAATACCTCTGGAAACGCACTGTGGATGACCGCAGTGGCTCCAGGTAGTATGGATGAACTCTACTCCGGTGGCGGGCNGCCTACCGCTTAATACTCTCCACAAGCCTCGTTTGAAGAAGGACATGTCATAGCGCTCGGGAAACACCGTGGAGGGGAGCTCATTCCATAGCCGGATGGTACGTGGCAAAAAATACCTCTGGAAACGCACTGTGGATGACCGCAGTGGCTCCAGGTAGTATGGATGAACTCTACTCCGGTGGCGGGCGGTGCGATAGTAAAAACGAAATGCCGGTATCATCTCGAACAATTCCTCAGAGCACTCCCCATGGAACATACGGTATAAAATACAGAGGGAACCGAAGTCCCTCCGCAGACCCAGAGGTTCCAAGCGATCCGTGAGAATGGGATTATCGACAATCCGAACGGCCCTCCTCTGTATGGAGTCAAATGGAAGAAGCTGGTATTTGGGAGCCCCGGCCTAGAGATGGGGGCAGTACTCCACGCGAGGCCGGACTTGTGCTTTATAAAGCAAAAGTCTTATAAACTTAAACTAACTAATTGTATACTTAAACGTTTCAAATTAAACTAACATCAGGAATCGAAGCCAAAACAAATCGAACAGAAGTCAAGGCTTACCTTTAAAGCATCGAATTGCTCAATGACGTCAATCAGCAGAAACATTTCAAAGCTTTTATCTAAATGCACCATACAGTGTCAGATTAGAGTCACAGCACTTATCATTGGCAAAGCGACGTACTGGGATAAACGAAGACGCCATTTAAAAAATTCTTCAAACCAAATCAATTGAGATATCAACTTGACAACGATTCGAACGTAATCAATTTTCTTATACAGAGGAAAGTAGAAAAAACATTCTTTGAATTTGAAGAGCACGCTAAGTTTTCACTATTCACGTTAATATCTTCATTATAGTTATTACTAGATCTAAAATATATTGCTGAATATTATCTGTATCCGTGAGCCAGCACGGATTGGTCCCGTCCTGTCCATAGCTGCCACAATGCAGTCAGAACAACGTTCAAATAATTGAGATTTCGACCTCTTCTCTTAGAAGTTACCAAGTTGGGGACCACCATATTGTGATGACAAAGGGCTCTAGTAAGCATTTGAAACGCGCCTTCAATTCGTCTACCCATTTAATGAAACAAAAAATCACGTTATCGTCCCGACTAGTAACGCACAATTCACAGCTCTCTCATCAGAAAAAGATGTTTATTACAGTATTGTGCTACATCTCCAAGGCTCGGGCGCGTATAAGGAAGCGAAACAAATACCGGACGATGATATTAAGTGAGCCGATTAGTAAGAAGCCATTGATAGTGATATCCGCCCATACAAAGCTGTGGATCCTTGGAAAAATTACAAGATTTCACGTTAATTATACGATATTTTTTGGTGATAAATCGTTTTTTTAATTAATGATGAAATTTGTTGAACTTAGTGTGTTTTGAAAAGATTCTGTAGAGCTCATAATTTTTTTCTTCAAAATAGTAGCAATGTAAATATAATTAATGGTACCATCAGTAATTACGCAAATTATAATTTTGCGGGTTTGATTTTTATTGCACGATGTTACTCCTTCACCGTGGAAGTCAATCGTGAACATTTGCTGAGTACGTATTTCATTATAAAAATTGGTACCCGCCTGGGATTCGAATACCGGTGCATCGCTCGATGCGAATGCACCGGACGTCTTATCCTTTAGGCCACGACGACTTCAAAATACCTCTAAATATCTCCTTCCATACTCCTCTATCATATACCATTACTTCACTCACTTCCCTTTTACACATATCGTCTTTCACGCAATCTGTCTATTTCTTCTTAGGTCTACCTATTCCTCTATATTCTTCTACATTCATAGTTAACAAATCAAATCAAACCAAATAAAATCAAATCAAATTTTTTTTATACAACATAAATGAAAGTACATACTTGTTGAACGTCAAAAAGAACTACCGCCAATTCACAAAAACTAGCCTCTGTTCTGAGAACCGACAAGAAACTCAGCGGCTACGAATAAATAATAAGCTCAGCGGGCATGTCTTTTTTCTTTTTTTTAAATATTAGTTTTTTTTTTAAATATTCATTTTTACAATGAGTATTATAACGTAACAATTATTGCAATATTGAAATGCCTGGAGCGAGCCACTCATATATAACACTGTCTTACCAACCTCATTTTCATTTCGTCTCATCACATGTCCATACCATTCATGTCCATGTCCATACCATCGATTAGACGATATGTTAACTGCAATACTTTTTGAAGAACGAAGGACGTAGCGGCCCTCGTAGATCACACCGCTGCATCTTCGCGTGCTTTAGGCTTGTGCACACTAAAGTGCTGATTCGTGAACGCTTAAGTATAAATTTGACTCATATTCTGTTAATAACTCGAACTGTCTATATAACAACTGATAAATAATTAACTAAAAATAAATAAATAAATAATAAATAAATATTTACTAACAATCACGCCACGTTAACTGGTCCCGTGCTAAGTTCGTAAAGAACTTGTGTTACAGGTACCAAATAACGGAAATAAATGTAAGATTTTTTATTATACACATACATATATTTAATATACATCCATAACCCTGGAAAAGACATTTATATTTACCATACAAATATCTTCCCTTGGCGGGATTCGAACCCGCGACCACCTTGTGTAGTGACCATGTCACTTATCACTACACCAGACGGCCGTTAATTGATAAAAAAGTATGATCGCCATTGCGTATAAAGCTCAATAAATGAAAATTTTATTTTTATTTTGCTTCATTAGAATATTCATTGTGTTGTGAATTTAAATATAATATATAACCTAATATGTTTTCACGTTATTTGATGTATGTCTTTAATCTGTTTTATATTAAAAATACTCGTATTTCCTATAGTAGCTAGCTAGATGTTAGAGCTCTAAATATCCTGTAGTATTCGTAGGGTTTTCCGGAAATAAAACTAAAAAAACCGATCCATGAAAATTATACCGATTTTTACGGTTTAATTCCGTGTTTTCGTTACGTTATTGCCATTATACTATTTGCGACGTTTCGGATACTTTACAGTTTTAGAGGTTAGTTGCCGTAACAATTACAATGTAGGAGGCTTAAACGACGAAAGGAAAGATCTTCCACCGAGCGGGTGATTTTGCTCGGTAGACCGACGGTCCAAATGTTGTTATTCGGAACTTGTATATATGCGCTTTATCTTGAAAATGTCGTAAGCGAGATTCAGGCATCTGTCAATTATCTTGCGTTGTATGATGGCTACCCGCCACAACAACTAAAACGTAGTTTTAAGAAAATTAAATTTTACCACTAGCCAACTAAATTTTAGCGCTTTTTAACGTAGTTTAATTATATATGAATATAGTTACATTTAATGTAGTTGTAATTAAACATATTATTAAGTATTTAATACAGTCTTAAAAAACCTTTAATGTACTTTTAATTATGTTTACAACTCGTGAAATTCGAAGAAATTACTAAAACTATAAAAACTAATAGATTAACATTTTTGACTACAACTTCAATGCCAGGCTTTGAAGTTGTTGAACTTACTTTACTTAACCTTTGGGCTACTGACCAAAAGAACTCATGAACACACTTCTTCTGAGAACTCTTCTACCAAGAGCACGTAAAGTTGCCATACATATCACGGTAATGCAACACTATGCATTCGCGAAGGAGTTGCCCTTTAGTACTTAGGTCTACTTCGGAGGCGCTCGGGCAGCTGTTAGCAAATCGCAACCCTCCTGGCTGAGCCTTTGTTGGCCCATCTGTCCTGGTAAAACTGGAAAGGCATTCGTGCCACAAGTAATCCTTCTTTCATAAAAAAAAGACATTGACTGCTCAGTATATCATTAAGTATAGCTACGCCTTAACATTTGAGACAATGACGTCGAACCGTTTTCACGGCGTATGACTCCAATACACGTTCATTTTTACCGGCATATATAAAGAGAGCCTTTGTTTTTTAACCGACGTAGTCAAAAACGAACTTACAAGCTTTAACCGTGTCGAGATATGAAATAATAAATTGAAATTTAAAAGTGTTCAATATGTCGTGGAGTTCGGGCTGTGTTTATTTCGTGTGTTTTTGTGCATTGGTGAGGACTCAAGTGATCCCAGGCAAGTCCAGAGCTAATGACGGAGATTATAATACAGTGAACACTGACGGATCTTTTGATTTCGGGTAAATTACTTTTAAATATCTTAATGTGTTTTTAGAATATCTAGTGAAATAATTGTTGCTTTTTTTTCTAATTAAAACGAAGACTTATTATGTAAAATAAGAATGTTATTTCAAATTATTTTAAAGACAACGGCTACTAAGATATTATTCAAGATATACATGTACATTTTTTAAGAAACTTTATTATTCGGCCATTTTTGTCCACAGATACGCAAACAAAGACAGAGGATCGAGTTATCACTTAGCACACGGGACGGCCAATGGTGTCGTCGGAGGTCGATTTGGTGGTAAAGATCCCGCCACTGATACTGTCAAAGAGACTATATACACAGCCGGACCGAGAGGGTGAGTGACAAAATTAGCAGTATTTAAGACTACTATAATTTTATTTGCATTTTCAAAGACTATTTTTTTTTTTTGTTGTAATGGACAAATGACAATCGCTTAATATTGTAGCATTCTTTAAGATAACGAGTGAAAACAAAATTTTAAACGAAACATTATAGATTCCGTGCAAAAGGACCCAACGTACATAGACAATTAGATCTCGATCAACGACCTCGGGGTCCGATCGGGAACAAAGATGACCCCTTCTTCGATCCCAATGAAGATCCCAGCTACGCTTTCAACTTTGACACCAGAACGTATTCGAAGAATGAAAACGCCGATAGCCGGGGCGATGTAAAAGGTGAGTGCTTTATCTTAAGATAAACTTTAAAAATTAATTATTATCATAAAACAGTCATTTTTTACTGTTGTTCAAACTGTTGAACTTAAAATGCTCCATAAATATCAACATTCATTCATGGAAGGATTAATTATTAAAAATTATAAATTATATCAGTTTAATATGTATCATGTTATATTTATACTTTGATCTTTTGTTTCTATCAAACGAGTATCTTGCGGCTCCTGGTTACGGGTCAATAAACATCACAACGCATAAATGCCTTTTACCATTTTGAGACGCGTCTAAGCCTTAAAATTTATTGAAATAGCAGATATCCCTTACTCCAAATAACCGAACTGTTTTGAGGAATAAAGAAGAAGAATGACAAGACTAAGCAGCGTGGCAAAATAAGAAATATAAAAATAAATTGCAACCACTGAATAGAAAAAATTTATTACCAAATGACTGATATTTCGAAAATTAAATTTACTTAAATAATATCATGTTGCGATAATTTAATTTCATGCTTACATATTATTTCTTTTATAGTTGTCAAATTTTGAGTAGACGCTCACGGAAGACAATTATTTGACTGTACGAAAAATTCATCAATCGTGTAAAATATTACTTTCCACCAGGCCACTACTCGTACGTGGACGATATAGGAGAACGACACGATGTATCCTACATTGCCGGTCGAGACACCGGCTTCCACGTATCTTCAGCGCATCCAGATAACCCTGGAGTCATAGGATCGCCCTTCCATAGAGCACCGTTGGTGAGAGGAGAAACAAAAGCTAGAGGTCGTACGGCTGTCCAAAGAGGATTGGATGGATCATACAGGTAAGTTAATTAAACTGATATTCCTAATAACAAGTCACCCATCGTGTGGTACTAAGGATAAAATAGTAGTTAGAATGTAATTGATTTATTTAAAAAATGGATATGGAGCTTCGCAAGAAATAGCGCAAGATATCACTGACTTAAGACCGAATTGACAAGAAGAGAGTTGCGAAAGAAGTCATTGACTTGAGACAGAGCATACGGAATCGTATTTATTCATCTTTCCAACCGTCACCGTCACGCCTGGTTATGTTTTAATTTCGTATTTACACTAAGGTCGTATGAGTCTGGCGTCGTCGTGACCTAAAGAATAAGACGCCCGGTGTATTCGTATCGAGCATGCGATTGTACCGGTGTTCAAATTCTGCAGGCAGGTACCAATTTTTTTAGAGAAATACGTACTTAAAATACGTACGTAAATAACTTCTACGGTGAAGGAATAACATCTCATTATAAAAATTAAGCCCGCATATAAAAGCATTTACGTAATTTCTGGTATTAGGGCGTATTGTGAGTACGTGCGGGTACATATCACCACCCTGCCTATTTCTGTCGTGAAGGAGTAATGCTTTTCGTTTTGAAGGGTGGGGCAGTTGAGTGTACAAGCTCAAGATTCATCATGTGTTAAGTGAATTTCATGAACCTCAGAACGGGAATGCTACATTTGAGACTTGGTCAAAGTCTGAATAATTAGGTGCATTCCTTTGCCATGAAGTATGCCATTTGCTGCATCAATATCTACATATATTACTGTTAGCGCGTTAACAATAGTTTTCAGAGTCTCAGCCGAGCGAGATTAATCTTTCAACTCTCAGAATGCCCGGAAAACAACCAATTACACTTACATTCGTTTTCCGAATCATTAAATAGTATAAAACAAAGTCGCTTTCTCTGTCCCCATAATATAATATATAATAAGCCCTATATAATAAGCCCCGTGCTTAAATCTTTTAAACTATGCAACGGATTTTGATGCGGTTTTTTTAATAGACAGAGTGATTGAAGAGGAAGGTTTATATGTATAATAACATCCATTAAATAGTTGAGAAATCAATAATAAATTACAGTTTCCGAGGCGAAGCGAGGGCGGGTCGATAGTAACATATATTTTATTATGAGAAATGTGTTCAGATGTGAAGTTGACTGACAGTATGTCAGCAGTGCACACACAATGACATTCCCACATTCATTAATTATACTCAAATAATATTTTGTGTTTGTATTTATTTCCTATATTATACAACTAAAAAATAAATGTCTATTTCCATAGATCGATCTTTCAGACTTCCTCTTGAGTAGTTTTAGAGCAAGATTTATGCTTTGTTTTGTATATAAGACAATGCGGTATCGTAAATTCTCATGACCTTAATCAAGCTCGTCAATTAACGTTATATTATGTAAAATAATGACGATAATCATCATTTCCGATTTGCACCTGACCTCTGACAGTATTTTAATATGTAATAATGAAAATACCTGTCCTAAAAACGGTTTTTTGAAATAGCATCTCAAGCATTCGAATTTGTGAAGCGTTTTTGTAGTTTTTAGTTTTGTATAGTTTGTTTAAACCCTTAGCTTATAATATTAGTGGGGACCTGACATCTATTTTTTTCTAAACTCTGTCTGAGTGTTCAAGACCGAGAGGAACCAGAAGAGGCGACCCGAGCGACGGAGCATGCTTCATTTACTACATAAGACTCACAGTAATGATCCCTCTATAGTCACGATATTTATTAAATCACCGAAAATATAAGGAGATTCTCTGAACTGGAAACCAACCTCGGAACTCAGTAATTGTTTGTCTATGGGTTTGCTCAGAACCGTGAAGTCTGAAGCTCTGAAGTCGTCGTGGCCTAACGGATAAGACGCCCGGTGCATTCGTGTTGAGCGATGCACCGATATTCGAATCCCAGGCGGGTACCAATTTTTCTAATGAAATACGTACTCAACAAATGTTCACAATTGACTTCCACGGTGAAGGAATACCATCGTGTGATAAAAATCAAACCCGCAAAATTATAACTTGCGTAATTACTGGTGGTAGGACCTCTTGTGAGTTCGCGCGGGTAGGTACCACCATCCTGCCTATTTCTGCCGTGGAGCAGTAATTGCGTTTCGGTTTGAAGGGTGGGACAGCCGTTGTAACTACTAACTATACTTGAGATCCTATAACTTATATCTCAAGGTGGGTGGGGCATTTACGTCGTAGATGTCTATGGGTTGCAGTAAACACTTAACCCAGGTGGGCTGTGAGCTCAACCACCCATTTAAGCATTAAAAAAAATTAAATGATAAAACAAAACTAATCATTAGGTATATTTATTGGCGTATATGGACATCTGTATTATTAGACTACCTAGGACTATTGAGTGTAATATTAAGTGAATTGCAGGTTCATATCAGCGGGCCCCGATCAAAGGAGAACGGAAAGCAGTGACTCACAGGGTAACGTCAGAGGATCCTACACGTTTTTGGACGATAAAGGAGTGCAAAGGTGCGTCCCTGAACTAATATGATTTTTTCTAAGTCAGCGGTTTGACAAATTGATATCATGCTATTATAAGAGCCTAGATTTACTTAGGTAAAATAAAATGGTTAAGAATATATAGGACATTATTAAAGCAAAATCAATTATTATGGTTTTTCTTTTTTGCTATCATATGCTTATTCCAAACAGCCTGTATAAATGAACATTCTCAGGTGCATAAAAGTCAGGCAGATTAATCGTGAAACTCTAATCCAAATTATCTTATAGCATGGAGACATGTCGCGCTGACCACACAGGATTGAAAAGAAAAAGAAATCATCATGAAACTTGTAAAGTTCATTTACTCCAGATAATAACAAAACACACTGGGCACTTAATGAATTTTTTCTCTTTCAGGACGGTAAACTACATAGCAGGTCCTGGAATTGGTTACCGGATAATCAAGAACAACAAAGATGCCATCCCATCCTATTTCCCGACGTTACCTAGTCCATACGACCCTACATTCACGAATGCTGCTCCTGGAGGATATTCTCCGCCCGCTGCTCCCGCTGGAGACTCTGATAGTGATGATGTTTTCAAAGGTAAAAAAATTGTGAAATTGAAGAGGAGGTTGACGTTCGTAGCGTCTCATTTCGTCTTTACGCATTAAAAGTGTACAATTTCCAAAAATATTCGAAATTGAGTTAATATGCGGAATCATTTGGTATCACCAGTATTTTTCTAATAAATACTGTCAAAAAAGCGTGGGATAGTTTTTTTTTTTTAGTTTGCCTATGTTTTGACTACTTAATATTATCAAAATTGATACATCATTTTATCTTACTTTAAATGACAGATAATGTAACTGGTACAAAATAAAAAATAAATGTTGCATAGATGATTAGTATTAAAAATATCGCATGTTAAACCTTTCAAACGCTCTCCTGTAAAATTAGTAAGTTTTGAGATTATACAGTTTTAATGCGAGAAGACGATTTATATAAGAGCAGGTAGATTTTTTGAAGAGCCTCTTGGAGCTGTCTTGTACTCTGCTTAAAAAAGAAAGAAGCATATTAGTGGCTGATATTAACGCAAATAACTCAATATGTAACAGCATAAAGGCTCGAGTATCAATGGTCCATTTAGCATCGAGATAATTTCAGTGTGGTTGAAAAACTTTTCAGTTCTAATTTCCCTCAATACGGTCGTGTGATGTTTGAAAAACTGAATTACAGGACCAGAAGGGACTGCGGCATCAGGACATGTAAAGCCCCCACCGTTTCAAGTAAGCGAGAGCGAGATACCCGAAGGCCCAGCGGGACCAATCACAAGCGCTGAAACGGATAACGCTCCTAACCTCCAAACGGACGGCGGTTATAGTCAACCGGCTTTCAGTCAATCTGGCAACGAAGATCTAGGCTACGTAGACGAAGACGCAGGTTACGGTGGAAGCAAGCCGACGAAAGGACCAGGTGATGAATAGCACGGATGATAGCATGGTGATTGATGTTGATCTTGTTGTTCGAATAAATACTGCTTCTTACGTGTCTTGCTGTTACATTTGGCTGCATTATATGATATAGATAGGTTAGGTCGATTTGATAGCTATCTGTTATTGTAATGTATGTGTTTTTACAAATATAGATCGCGAGTGCTTGTGATATTTTGTTGTATGCAAATATTGAAATTGAAATACTTTAAGCACAATGTAACAGTTGAGCCCGTTGGATTACAACATGGCCATACTATGAATTTGCTACGGTTTTGGGCTAACTAACTGTACTTATTATTATTACTTATTATTTACTTGTTTTTTGTAAATGAATTCGAAATAATCCGACTCAAGATCCACGATCAGTCCGCTTCCGTAGAACTCGATGTAACGCACCTGTATTTATTTATTTAATTGCTTGATCGCAATAAACTATGTTCACGACCAATTTGGTTTTATTACACCAACACCCTACGGCACCGCAGCACCAAAAGCACTCGTATCATACTGAGAAGTGACTTACAACTTGCAGGCAAGCCGGCGCGCCCTACCAACAAGCCTTATAGGCCGCAGAAGAAACCTTACGTACCGCTAAAGCCTACCCAGACTACATATATAGACGACAGCGATTATCCTGTAGATACAGATAAAAACCAACCTAGTTTCGGTGTAGGATACAATATTGATAGTCCGGTTCGACGCACGACTATAATTAGGAATATCGGGGACAGTTACTTTGATATTCCACCGGGCGTCTCTGTTAGGGCTCATGTTCAGAGTATAGATTTGTATCCTTTTGGTGCTAAGCCGGTATCCCCATCTGAAGCGTTGGAAAGCGAAAAAACATAGGATATCTGTTTATCTTAATACAGGTCGCCAGTATTCCACAAGTGTAATGCAATTTTTATGCTAATTTATTTAATAAACATTCTTTAAGTATCATTGCAATTTTATTTTATAGTGGTTCCATATTAACCTTGCTTATCCATATTTTGGGTACACCGTATTTTAATTAGCCGTAAATCAAAACTAAACTAACTGAAGAATGCGTAGCTAAGTACTAAAATGAAAAAACAATTTATTATTTTTCTTACAAATTTAATCGAATAACACGACTGTAAATATTAACAAAATGCAAAAACAGTAACTTTTAACAAGGAGTCATTGGCTGTTTATTTGTGCTCGTGACGTCACGCGTTGCTTCATACCCGTCGTGCCACTCCATTCATAACAACAAATACGACATAATCAATTTGGATTCGCTTATTCATAGCATGTGGTATAATGAAACCTGCAGTTAGTTTACATTCTCAAAAATTACCACTAAATCAAGCTATTAGTAAAATGTATGTTTTAAATAACACTTTTTTAGATGATTGTACTAAAACGCTTTATTATACCACATTATGTAACATTATGAAACTGAAATTGAAACATTATAACATTAACATTATAAGAGGAGAAACAGTATTGCACTATTACATTCAGACCAGTTTCAAAGATCAGACTGAAATAGATCAAAAAGTATCTATAATCCGTGTGTTCAAACAACGCATTAATTAGATGGATTCTATTGATTAAAATAATTTCAAGATAATCAAAATAAGGAGGGCAATTTGTTACTTCAACTAGTAGAAAGAAAGTATGAAATGCACGTATGTATATATATATTTATGTATTTATTTTATATATTAGAGAAAGTTAATGTATATTGCAATACCGCTACCCTCAATAGGGACTATAGGAATATAACAAGAAATTCTTATAAGAAGAATAATTTTGGCAATTTCAATAGGTGAAAAATAGGAAAGTCTAAACGTGTATAATAATTTATCTAAACGCATTCATCTATAAGACTAGGCTATATTTTCCAATAACTTTTAAATAGATGTTGAATTAAAATGTACAAAGATTCATTGTTAGTAAAACTATAAAATTTTATAAAATTGCACAAACTCAAATTTCTGATAGATTTGGTTAACAAATATTAATTAATAACAAATATAATTTTACAAAACAAACAATAATATATTAAATAAATAACTGATCACTAAATTAATTATTATTAGATGGGTGAGCTCACGGCCCATCTGGTGTTAAGTGATTACCAAAGCCCATAGACATCAACATAGGACATGAGTTCTAAGTTTCAGTTTTACAGTACAGCAGCTGCCCCATCTTTCAAACCGATACGGATTGGGTACTGCTACTACACGGCAGAAATAGGCAGGGTGGTTTCTACAACCTACCCATGTTGACTCACCAGATGGTAGCATCAGTAATCAGGGTAGAAATAGACGGGGAATTTCTAGTACTCTAACTCAGTTTCTTGATTCATATAAGAAAAGAGGACCGCATAATGCCATAAAACGAACTTCTTTGAAAATATGGTTTCCTTAACGACTGTAGCATTTTTGGTAAACTCGATTGTACCAATCGAAATATCTTCAAAATAAAGGACAAACTTTCAAGTATTTTGTGTAGTTATAAACGCCGACCTGGATAAACAAGCTATTTCAACACGGAGATTAAACTAACTCGGTCTTTTGAAGGGATTATTTTTTATTTATCATAACATCATAACATGTTATTGGGTAGATCTTCAGAAATTCAACATAACATTTCTTAAACGTTGGCAAATTAATGAATTTGAAGAAATTCTAGTTAGAAGAAATTGAAATTATTAAGTTTAGCTTATTAGTAATTGTGTAAATTTTCCTAAAGGCACTTTACAGTACAACGGTAGCAAAAGAAGCTGTAAAAAAATTTGCATATTTTTCGCGAGTTTCTTCACTTTCGCTTGATATGAAAAGCTCGTTCGATTTGTTAACATTTTACATAAATTTTTACGTTACCTGTATTTTGTCTGATAATCAATCATTACATTCTAGCAATCGTAATATTTTGTGCCTTTAGAACTTCACTATTTAATATTTTCTAGATTTAAATTTTCGTGGATTAATTTCGCGACTATTTTACAATATTTTAAATTTTCCATCACTTCAAATACTAACAATTTTAAAACGATATATTTCGTGGTCACTGGCGAGATTAAATCACAATATAATTTATCATGTTCATCACAACATGATAAGCCCGATTATACTCAAAAAGCAATAGAAAGTCCTAAAGTTGTGTTTACCATCGAGAAAAACAAATACTTAATTCCAAACAAAATAAACACGGTGTTTCGGTATTTAAAATTTAAAAATATTTTGTTACTATTGTAGTTCGTTTGGATAGTGTGGATGAATCTTTATAAAACTGAATAATTCACCATCAGTTAAAGATAGCCCTGTATATATGCAATTTACGAACATTAAAAGAAGCAATGCTGAATGCTTTACGTTATTGTTTTCAAGATTCCTTGATTAATTTTCTATCTTGGGCCTCTATCTACTTTTTGCAACTGACTTTGTATTAAAATTATATCTCGATTCGGGGCGCATATTTTTTTAAAATTATTAACCTTTTCAACTTTATAAAAAATAACATAAAATTGAAATTTGTCTGTACAAAATTGATACTTCTGCCGCTATTGGTACTACGTAACATCTGAATATTTAATTCAGAGATTTTGTAGCGATTCGAATCGAAAAGTCTTAACACAGAAACTGCAGCTTTGCTTTACTTAACACTATGTGTATATAAAGATTTTATATAATTTCATAATAAATAGATAGAAAAACCTTTAAATATGACGACCCTAAGAAGGCAAAATAGCAAATCACTAGAGAAAGCCAATATTGAGCGAACAGTGACGTGCCTTAATAGAATATTAGATAACATGAAAGTTATATTTACAAGATTAAGGCCTTATTCCTATGTACTATAAATTTTATAATATTTATTTCCTAAATTTAAAACTAAATTACTTTTTTTAGGTTTATTTAATCTTTTCATTTTTCGGTAATTTAGGCCTATTTTTTCACGTAACTTAATTTTTTATGTTCTCAATTGTAACGAAAACTTTGAACGTAATTTTCATCAACACGAAGACGTCCGATTAACTTAAAAACTTGCACACGTATCAAGGACCCGTGACCTACCTACCCAACTAATTACCTACGAGTATGCAAAGCACTGCTCTTGCTAGGGCTAGGAAATTAGCCTAGTAAGCTATCTCATGTTGAGCTCGTGAGCTCACACTAGCAGGCAGAGCGTAGTTGAAATAATCCCCTAGGCCACCAGCGAATAGGTAGGTAAAAACATACAATAGTTTCATTACATTGACCCTAATATTAAGATCCTTCAGGTCACCAAGTTAAAAAGACTACGGTTTTAATTGAATATGCAATTTCGAAAAGGGCACATCTCTGAAAATGTAAAATGTTCAGGTAATGAAAAAAAACTGATTATTTTCTTAAGCAGTGTAAAATTTTAAATATTATAAAATAACTTTTGAGATATATTTTGGTGTTAATTAGCAATTGAAAATGACTGGAATTATTATAAAATAGGTGTAGGTAAGCCTCAAAAGTACATGTATATGAAAAAACGTATTTGACAAAATATGCGACATGTGCCCTTTTCGAAATTGCATATTCAATTATTAGAACGAATTTCTATCGAAGCGTGCTGTTTTAGTTATTAAACTACACTTATCGGGAGGGCTGAGCGATCTGTGGTCTGATCTTAAGGGTCAATTCTACGCAGATTCTCAAAGCCATGTTTGAACAGACCATGTGAAAAATAATTCAGTTGAGACACATACGTCCCCCCACACGCTAATTAGCTATGAAATTATAACGTGTTAGTTACGTATAATCTTAACGTTATCTTATATCAAAGATTTTACCATGATTTTTACTAGCTGACCCGGCAGACTTCGTAGTGTCTCAATCGAGAAATAAAATACCTAAACTTTTGTATAAAATAAACTTAAAACCAACAAAAGGAATCCGTCCGACGGGGGACACATCAAAGGAAAAACTAAATTGTTATTTGTATTTAATTCCGAAGATTTTCATATTTATTTACCTTTTAAACCTTCTCTGGACTTCCACAAATAAATCAAGACCAAAATTTGCTAAATCGGTCCAGCCGTTCCCGAGTTTTAGCGAGACTAACGAACAACAAATCATTTTTATATATATAGATAGATGATCGAATTACTTCTTTTTTAGCACCTAGAGTGTTGCCTGTTGTTGTGTTGAAGTGCCTGTCGTAATTAGATCTCAATCGATTGATGGAACAACTCGAGTAAGTAGAAATCGATTATCACTTAGTATGTTTTATAGATGCGAGTTTTAAATCGTTGGAGGGAAACAAGAGGGAGTTCTCAGATCCTTCCTTAAAAAAAAACGAATAAAGTGAAGAAGAATTAAAAAAAATAAAATTCTTGTATATTCTTTTGTAAAGTTAACACAATTGGACTATTTAAAGACTAAAGTTGTGTTTAATTTTAGCACAAATACTACAGAGCGTAACTGTAGATATAAACAGATGATTAAAAGTCAATAAAATATTATTTTTTTAAAGTAAAATTCGAAGAGATTTTTTACGTAAACGTAATACATTATAGGGCCTTATTAGTTACAATAACTTCATCAAAGTTTCCATACCTCTAGGATACTTGAAACGACCTAAATATTTGATCATCGATTGTTTAGGTTCTTAGTGTAGATCAAACGAGATGATAGTCTACCTGCCTATACACGCACAAGCCCGCCGCCGTCGAACGGTGGCCAAGGAGGCGGACCTCGCCCAAGCCCTGACCCACTAAGTGTTTCAGGTCCCCCTCACATGTCGGTTTGGTAACCGGTGAAGGGGGCTGGTTTTAACCCAGCGAGGTATTCCGTAGGATAACCCATTCTAACCGGCGCCATCTAGGCGGGCTCCGGACAGCCTGCCGACCGAGAGGGCTGGTGGTCGTGGCGCCGACGACCGCCAGTCCGGCATCCCGAGGAGGAAGGTGATGGGAGAGATGTACTCCGCAATAAACGCTTCACTCTCCCCCCTTTGCCTTTCATGAATTATGTCTCATGCGAGGTTTGGATGCTGGTTGTTGAGCGACAGGAGGTTTTAGTCGGTTCGACTCCGACATGCCCCGCCCGCCAGCCTGACAAAAAAAAAACCTGCCTATACAAGCGAGATCGTGCACAACTATCCACTTTGAGACATGAGGTCGATTTCAAAGACGAACAAGGCAGGACGGTGGTACCACGCGGCCTCAAACATCTCCTGCAGTTTATATTATGCTCTACGCACTGTATTTTGGCAGAATACAAAATGCCCTACCTCCTAAAGTATTTTCAATTCATTAAATATTCAATTTGCATTGAATATTATAAATTTTCCTTACGCATAATACATCTTAACTACAAAATTATCGACTAATTGTGTATAGTTAGACATGTCTGTTATCTTAACCGTATTTGGACTGAAAAACTGCATTTTTTCACATTTAAATTCACAGCCAAATTTTTACAGCTTGTTTCTTTGGATTTACTTCTAATACGTTTTTTTTTTACTTATTTACATTTTGGACGCGAGCGCCTCTATTTAAATACACTGGTTTACAAAAGATCAAATTTTATGAATACAATTTTCTTTAATTTCAACAATCAAATTAAAGATTTATTATAACAATATTATATAAATGAAATACGTGGAGCTGCTAAAAATGTTCCAATGCTAATGTAAAAATAAAGTATGTAATTCTAACAACAATCTTTACTTATCTTTACTTTATGTTCTGGTATCATTAACAGCTGTCAAAAATTCTATAACAATGAAGATAGGATGTTGTTTTTGATTTTTTTATAACTCTAGTCAATTAAGTTATAAAAATGCAAGATGAATAAATTGTCAAACAAATTAACAATATTCATAGAAAAGAGTTAGTAAAATATAGACATGTTAAATGAAAAAAAAAATTGGATACGATATGAATTTAATAATGATCGACTATAAATCTTTACATAATCTTGTTCATAGAAAAAAAAGCCTCAAATTGTTAATCACTAAATCGCCAATAACGAAGCAACAAAGAGTCTAAACAAAAAAAGTACCTACGGTTTTATTGATATTTTAAACTTGAGTAATCTGGTACTTTGCTTATCAAAATTAACGTAAACACTGCACAAAGAAAAAAACAAAAAAAAATATATTTAAATACTGAATACTTTTTCGCTGACCAATGAGGTCAATTCGACATCAAAATTATCAAAGTTCTATTCTAGAACAATCTATACTGTAACAGACATAAACTAAAATATTCATATTTTAATCTATGATAAAAACGAGACTAAAAGACTAATAATTATTCAACAAGTCTTTGTAATGATTTGGCAAAAAAAAGGAAACTACTTCCGAATGAAATACCGCGTTGGTATATCAGTCGAGTTTCGAGTTTTGTGATAGAACTACATATTTATTATTAGTAAAGACTAGATTCGTTAAGTCTACGCACTTATTAATCATAAAAATAAAGGTGAAATCGTTTTATCACACACTAAAAATCTACATGACGGGGAGTGAAAGGTTATTTGGTTTAAGCTACATTTTTGCAAGTTTACAGGAGAGCAAAAATTATGATATTTATTGTTTATTAATAATACAATATAATCTATACAAATAAATAAAATTGGAGTGTCTGTTTGTAATAATAAAATAACCACTTTTTACTAAATGCGTAAGTATGTATACTTAGTACATATACAAAAACAATGATTTTTTTTAATTTTGTCCGTCTGTCTGTCTGTTTGTTCAGGCTAATCTCTGGAACGGCTGGACCGATTTTGACGAGACTTTCACTGATAGATAGCTGATGATATAAGGAGTAACTTAGGCTTAGTACTGAGTACTTTTTAGACTAGCTTCGCCCCGCGGCGTCACCAGCGGTACTACAATAACGGCGGGTAACATGGCCGGACTCAGCTAGTTATTAATATATAATTATGATATTTTTTCCAAATTTTAAATATTACAATTTAGAAAAAATCTCATACAAAAACACTTCTTCAGCTATTTCAGTGAGGTGAACTTAATTGAAGTTCAATTATAAAACATCGAATAGTTGATACTGAAACGGACCTTTGATTACATTAGATAAATGTCGGCTTTGAGCGAAATGCGAGCGCTTAAACCAAATTGCCCTTCACCTGTCGATATCAGTTCAAAAAGCAATGTGGTTATTATTTCAAATTAAATCACTGCACTTATTATTATATGGACGAACCACACGAATTGAAATAAAAGTATATTCCATTATTTTTTTCTATTCTTGAAAAGAAGTATTTAAATTATCAGACGTAGGATACAAAGCCACAGAGGCTCTTCTCGTCTTTTTATTATTTTATTTTTGTAATAATTAAATAACTTACAAGCCTTTGATCACATATAGTATGAATCCTTAATAAATTACAATCGATTTAACAAATATAAAGTTCACTAAAACTTACGTATGCATTTAATAATCGATTAAGATCTTAATTAAAAATATAGGAAACAATTTTACTGAGCATAAATTTCAAAATTCTAACTAAAATTATATATATATATTTTTTAATATAAAAAATTTCAACTAATTTTAAAATTATACCTGTAATACATTTTGTGATTCAGTGGCAAGACTTAATATTTTTAAATTTTGATTTTCATTCACGTGCCAAAGTACTGTAATAAATCTAATCATCACACATTTGAAAAACTAAATTTACCTAAAAACCCAAAATCACAATTAATTTCGAACAATACAAACTTCATGCACGTTAGATTATAATTGAATACTAAATTAGAAGTATTAATTTTCAAATACTCGATTAAAAAATCAAAACACAGATTACACAAAGAAACAAAAAAGGCGGGCTTTCAGAATACGAAATTGCCCGGACCGAGTTTGCGGGAATACTCCAACAATACACTGATTGTTCCACTTTTACTGATCTATTTATTTTATATATTTTGACATATGACAAAACAAAATGGCGCCAGTAACAAATCAATATTTCGATTGAAAAAAAAAAAGGAAAATTAGCGTGTTGTTTGAGTTTAGCAATAGGATTTGTGAAACATGGACGTTTCGACTGTCAACTTTAGTTTTTAATTCCTATTCCATCTAGCTCTTAAGAGGACACTCGCTCCGAATCAACTCATATGTTGAAAACCCGGCCAAATTAAAACTGTTAACGTTCACGGAAAAACTTTTTTTTTCTTCTATATGTTCATCAGTGCTGCCACCATACTAAGCAACATCATCGAAAGCGTTCTATTTTCAAATAACCGAAAAATGGCGCGCTTCATCACATAACTTTGCTAACGAGAGTGATTCAGCAAATATTACGTGATTTTCATTTTCTTGCTGGTCTCTTCGAGCATGTCCTTGATTTTGGTGAGCGGTGACCTCCTGTCGTCGGTTGTCTTCTCGACGTACATCGAGGGTAGGTGGATTTGGAGCGGGTCGCGGAGACGAGCAAGGTCTTTTTCTAATTTTGCTATCTGTAAATTAACAATACGATTATAATGAGACCCAATATTCAAGGGCGGCGCACGTATGCGATGACCCATTTTGAACTTTTGCATTGAAAGTGCACGTATCATCTTATTGCTTTTGCACATTTGGCTTTGTGACTTTTTCTTGCCAATTAATCTACAGATAATATAGATACAATTTTTTTTTGAGTAATTCTTGTCGCATACCTTTATTTACCCGCTATGGTAGAAATAGGTACCAGTAAGTATTGGTATGATTGGTGTTAATGATCATTACTAACTACCACAAGACAGTTGGATTCCAATATTTGAAAAAAACTATGGCCTTTTTACACTAACTACACAATGACTATGTTTTAAATAAAATTTCATAATAAGTATATTTGAAACTCCTCTTCCTCAAAAATCATTACTCGTGTGGACGTAACAGAAAGAGTACCAAATAACAATGCGTTACCATACAATAAATGACACAGGTAACTTAAGTTTCCTTCTTTAGTTGTCCAAAAAATTATGTTTGTAGTCTGGGATTTTTAAATGTAATCAAGAACTATCTACAATACTAACCTGATCTTTAAGATTATTGTATTGGTTAATATCGAGCCCGATCTTCTTTGCCTTCTTGTGTAGCATCAGCAGATGCTGTCGATCTTTGACATCGGGCAAAATGTACTCCTGAAAGAAAAAGAAAAAAAACTAGTTTGATATAGGTAAGACATTCTTCATTGCGTTTCGACAAAAGTAGATAGATTAGACTAATTGGTAAAAAAATAAATTGATAAGTTATTTAAAGAATGCAATGTAATGAGATTTAATATAATGTCAAGTAAAGTAAAGGTAAATCTAAGGGTAGGCAGCGGCTTGGCTCTGCCCTTGGCATTGCTTAAGTCCATGGGCAACGGTAACCACTCACCATCAGGTGGGGCGTATGCTCGTATGCCTACAAGGGCAATAAAAATATAAAAGTTATCTTTAATGAATTAAAACAATGTATGTGTATGTACTATTTTAATTGATTTTTTTTTTGTTTCCGACTGCTTATACTATAATGAAGTATAATGCCTCTAATATAGATATTTTCTCAAATAATTGTAACTCGGATAATTTCTTAAGCCATTGATAACAATAAAAGTAAACGGTTGTTTTTACCCTCAACACAGCCGGCTGACACCATAACCCCGAGTCAATGTTTTATTTGTTACATTATTTTTATTGCTTAGTTGGCTGGACGAGCTTACGGCCCACGTGGTGTTAAGTGATTACCGGAGCCAATGATGTCTAATCTACAAAGTAAATGACGGCACCCACCTCGAAGAGGTCTGAGTTTTACAGTACAACGGCTATCTTACCCTTCAAACCGAAACGCATTACTTCTTCACGGCAGAAACAGGCGGGGTGGTGGTACCTACCCGTGTGGACTCACAAAACGTCTTACCACCGTTAATAACTTGGATACTTCATTTTTTTTTTTGCTTTTTAATTATTATTTTTCCTGGAACTCGTAACTTTATTTGTATTTTTTTAATTTTTATTTGTAATTTGTAATTTTGTTTTCAATAGCTAATTTGGAGGCTCGCTCGCTATGTATATTAATACTGGTTTGCGGAGTGCATATATAATTAAGATTGCAATCCAGATCAAACTTAGGTACTATTTTTACGATTTAGTTAATATGTAATGTACCGTAATGATTGTGATTTGTTTTGTGCATCAATAAATAAATAAAAAACAAAAAAAAAATACATCGCGGCATTTTAGTGTTGGTGTAAATAACAATCAGAAACAATAGAGTGGTATGTAATATCTCTGACGAGTGTATTATGTATTCACATTTTACGTACCTGTTTAGTTAGAACGAAGTAAGCATACGCCGCCATAGCCGTTCCGTACGTTACGAAGTAAGTGACGGGCTCCATGATGTCCCAGGAGTACTCCCACCATGTTAAACGGGCCAGAACTCCGAACTGAACTCCCATCAGGCCAAGACCGAACCACGTTAGAGCCGAAGTACGACGCGAAGTCTCAACTTCGAGGCTCCTACGTTTCTGCAAATAAATTGAACTTCTCTATAATACAGATTGTTTTGAAATGCGTTGTAGAAAAGAGTGTATTTTTTTTGTTATTGCTTTGATGGGTGGACGAGCTCACAGCCTACCTGGTGTTAAGTGGTTACTGGAGCCCATAGACATCTACGACGTAAATGCGCCGCCCACCTTGAGAATAAGTTCTAAGGTCTCAAGTATAGTTACAACGGCTGCCCTATCCTTCAAACCGAAACGCCTTACTGCTTCACGGCAGGGTGGTGGTACTTACCCGCGCGGACTCACAAGAGGTCCTACCACCAGTAATTACGAAAATTATAATTTTGCGGGTTTGATTTTTATTACACGATGTTATTCCTTCACCGTGGAAGTCAATCGTGACATTTGTTGAGTACGTATTTCATTATAAAAATGGGTGCCCGCTTGGGATTCGAACATCGCTGCATCGCTCAACACGAATGCACCGGACGTCTTATCCTTTAGACCACGACGACTTTAATGGTATGTTACGAACAGTCAATTCTGACTGTGAGAACTACTAATCAACTGGTGATTTAGTTAAAATCGGTGCATCATTATAAATGAAACCTCAGATTCTAACAATTTTAAAAGATCAAAATGTACTCCTGTCGATTCAATCGATTAAGCAAAAATGTCATTTAGTGTCCTTTATAAAGATATTCAATAGCAGAGTTTATTATTGTCATTGTATGTTTGAATCACGGTAACAGGTAACTTTAAAGGCAGTGAAAATGATACTGATGATGATTGAAAATTCAAACTGGAAAGAATAAGTACATTGCGGTAGTAATAGGTAGATACTCCCGTGTGGATCATAATAGGTATTTTCGCTAGTAGATGCAAGTTGGCGATCAGTTCGAGGTCAATCAATGAAGGTAACAACAAAGGAAAGATCTTCCACCGAGCGATCAAAATCGCTTATTTATGCAACAAGCTTATCTTGAAATTGTCGTTAGCGAGAATTAGGTATCTGTCAAATATCTTCTTTTCTATCATAACAACCATGACCGTTGTTATGATAGAACATGACTGACTATGACATTTTTACGATTTTTTGTTTAAAATCAAAGTAATATAAAAAAAAATGCTGTTAAGATACTAACATCTTCGAGAGGTTGTAACTCGGTGTTAATTTTCTCCAGCTGCGCCCTCAGTTCCCTCTCCTTCCTTATCTGGTGCTCTCTCACGTTCAGAGCCTCGTACAGTTGATTCACCAAATTCCTGACGTCACTCAACTGAGTAACCTCTTCCATGCTTAGACGCTCCTGAAAACGAAAACCGCTTTAATACTTTACATAGGGGCCGAAGCTATTTTCGAGTTTCTAAAGATAGATTTACGTGGTTTTAGTTCGACTCAATGAACGCGCGAAATTTACCCAAAAATATTTATTTCGTACAAGTTTCTCTTCAAGGACTAAGTCTCAATCGTAAACTAGAATTTATGGATTAAAGAATAAGTCCGCATCAAAGTATTCGCCAAACAAGAAGAGACAATTAGACCAGTAATGTTTATTGATGTTATACCCAAAACTTTCGTCATTTATAAATGAACAATGATGTAAGCATTGGTAATGTAATAGTAATTATTACTAACGTTTTCGGGTTAAGTAAATTAAGTGTAGGTTTCGAGTGTTAAATTTATATTCGTTAGTGAAATTAAGCTAATTTACCTAATTTTTTAAATGTTTCTTTTTTTTTCAATAACTGAGTAGATGAGCACGTGGTTGTAGGGGTCAAGAGTCATTGTAAGGTGAATCCCGGCAACCAACTTAAGACACGGATGAAAATTACATAACATTTTTTTAAAACCGGACTACATGTTTGCTTCGAGACAGAAATTCTTAATATGGTGGTTGGTACCTGCACGTGCGGACTCAGAAAAGGATCGGTATTTGACCTACCTCTCAAATCTGACGGCAATAATTTTTCGTGAACAGAAGACACGTACAAAGTGCCGGATTAAATATATTCCATCAAAATACACTTTTAAAAAATATTTCGACAAAGAAAGCGGAATTGTCGTAACTTGAAAAAACCAACTTAACACCAGAGCCATATGGTAAAAAGTGGTTTAGCTCAAAATGCAAGTTACGACATTTTCGCTTTCTCCCGTCGATTTAATTCCCTAATTTAAAGACGAAATAAACATCATACCCGTTATAGTTTCAATACAGATCTGCGGTTACATTCAAGACAGTTTGTTTACGGAATAAGCCGCTCTTTTAATATGTAAGAGGGATACGCGGATTAACGTTGTAAATTAGAAATTGATGCTATAGTTGTTATGTCGGTAATAACGTAGTTACACGTAAATTACGGTTCGGAGATTGTGTCTGTGTCTCTATATCTTAATCTTGATACGTTTTAGAATATGATGAATGAATAGTGAGTTTTAGCAATTTCAGACTTTACATAATCTGTTATTCAAAAAACTATCTTGAAGACTATTAGAAAGCTATTAGACTATCTTGAAGGCCTAATGCATGCACATTCTTCTGAGAATGAATACCTTATGGTATTTTTTAGTATTTTCTTAAATGTTGCCTTTGTAGACATATGAGCCACGTGATGTTAAGCAATCACCGGTGCATATGGACTTCAGTATTATAACGGTATAACCAAGCCGGCTTTACGTAGCAGGATTTTTGCAGTATATATGACGTCGAGACAATCCATATACTATATATATGTTTGAATAATTTGTATGTAATGTCACTTTTTTTTTTGAGCCTTGAGGGGCTATATCAGCGTAGCCTTAACTAGTAGGTGAGCTCACGGGGCTCAAATCTGATGACGTTGCTAACACGAGCCGTGCTTCGCAGAATCTACCACCGAAACTCTGTAACAGTGGGCTGTGTCTGAGGGTTAATTTACTCGTCGAGCCCTTCGTCGCGAGCGACGGGTTCGACGAGAACGATGACCGGTGCTTGAGGTACCTCAAAGCACCATTCGTGGATCGGGAGGATCCGAAATGACGTGTTTGGGGCGACGTCGACTGCTTTCCATTCTGTCCGCAGGATCGGGAATGACCTTACCGGCGGCCACGATGAGAGGGTTCTCGTGCCGTGCCGCTTTATCGAAGTGGAATGTCATTCATGATGCTTTCAAACCCACCGTATAAAACCGTATGAACGGTTTTAATCAATTAACAACCATAAATATAATGGTCGTTCTATATCATCTCAAACAGATACAAGATCTGAGAGCTTGCATTAAGAGCAATATAATGAAACAAGCAAGACTGTTTGTTAACAATTAGGTATAAAGTTAATACCTACCTAATTGTCAACTTCTCTTAGTTAAATCATTCTGTCTGAAATTTATAACAATCGCTAAAGTAACAAGGTTACGTAAAATATCTTGTTTTCTTTCCACACTTTCGTTCTATAGCTCGATTATGTAGATTCCCTGTAGCTGCCCATAAGATAATAATATCGTATAATGTCTTCACGCAAATTCAGATAAAGTTATTCAGATTATGATTTCATCTCATAAAAAATTCTGAAATAGAGAAGGCTCTTTTGGAAAAATGTTTTAATAAACTATTTGACCCATACAGAATGTAATATCTAATCGTACCTTTCTTTAATCGACCTACACCTCTAGCTATTCCTGGTTACTAATACCGCATCATTCATTCTTCTAAAGTATGAATACTCTCACTCGCTTTTCTATTATGATTTAATAATAAAAAACGTTGTATCGCTCCGATATTGATGACTTCCATTAGATGTCTGAAACGTGGTCGCTCAAATTACAAGATACCTGGAAAATCGATGCCTTGAAGAGGTGGTGTTGGAGACGACTGCTGAAAATTCCGTGGACAGCGTTTCGGACCTCAAGGAACCTCAAGGAACTTCGTATACAGAATCGTTGACTGTTCAACTACGAATTCTCAAGTTCTTTGGGTACATCTCCAGAAAGAAAGATTCCATGGAGAGACTTGTTGTAAAGGGCCGTATAAAAGGCAGAAGACCTCGAGTTGGATACCCCACGCTCTTTTCAGCGCCTCCTATTCGAAAATATAATTATGATAATTGAACAATTACAGTATGTATAATAATCGCACAATTTTATTAGTTATTATACTTATTATATCACATTATTGCATGAATAAACAAAATAACTTAAATCTAAAGCCGCCATTTTTTCCTGCGATATAGTAGAACGCAAGTAAAATTCATTAATTCGTTAATTGACATCCGTAGCAAAAACTATACTTAAAATTAAAAAAAAAAACTATTTGGCTCGAGGTCAAATTGTCATATGCAATGCGGCCCGGCTATCAAAAAATTTGCTCACCCCTGGTCTAATGCAACACATTATTAATATAGACTTTGCAGTGGGTATGAATATTTCATTCTGCTTTATGGCACTTTCAGAGTCATGGCTTTCGGGGTGGAGGTCCTATTAAGCGGAACGATATCATAAGGAATTTTAAAGCAAATTGTTATTTTCATAAATTATGACTTTATAAATGGGAAAGATGAAGATGTCGAAAAGCTTCGAAAGCATTTAATAACAATAAAATGAGTATAGATAAAGAGATATACTATTACTCTTGTCTTATGCTACTTATTGAGATGCAACAAAAATTTAGAATGTTTTAATTTGATAATTTATTCTTACTCCTAACGAAGAATGTATATTTAACGACTTGATCTCAAATACTAGAGCAGCACCCTTGGTCCTAGTACTCACTTATCGGTTGTCATCTTCAAATCTGCTATTACAGGTTGATAACAAGCCGCCTATCTGCAGCTAATCCTCTTTAGGAATGGAAGGTTTTGTGTTAACAAAGAAGAGTAGACATTCAGATAGAGGGTTAACACGGAATAGTAATCAATATAATTGATCTGTACCATAATAATAGTTAAGGTCGAACTCTCAATTGTAAATAGATTATTTCTCCCTTTAGACCAGAACGTACTAATTCCACTACCACTACTCACTATCTCTCACTACTAAATATGAGAGATAAATATATTATGTATGTTACATCAGACATTAAGGTAATGCAAGGAATTATAGTTTAAATAAATAGCTGCCTTATTCATATAATAGGATCAAAGAACAGATGATAAATGAAAAGCATCTATTACTTCTGACCGGTTTTGGTTCGGAATTAATTAATCTATAGTAGTCTGAAATTGCTAAATCATCCCTTTCATTTTTCAGATCATAACCTTATATTATTATTAAATTTTCAATACAAATAAGTACTTTTATTGGATTATTTACTATTTTATTATTTTTACAATTTTTTTTACCAGGTTCTATTTTTCCTATTTTATTATTTACTATATAGTAATATACTATAGATAAGCATCTTATTTAATAGCTCGGTTTATCACGAAGAGGAACGAACAAGTACATTCATTAGTACTAGTAAAAACGCTTTCTCGAATAACGCCTAGACCAATCTGTAATTTGTTCAACAAATCCGTAGGGAAGACGAATTGATTAAATTCCTGTGATTTATTACGAGTGATTTACGATGGATCGAAATTGGAATATTTAAATTAGGCCCGTCGCTTTTCCATTAACGCCGTCCCTTGACAATTACGGTAGTTTTTTTTTTACGTATCCAAATTTCTTTTCTTCTTCATTTTAATCGTAATCAAACCTTTATACTAAGAAGTAAATACAGTCATGATTCTTCATAGTCGTATGCATTGGTGGTAGGACCTTTTATGAGTCCGCACGGGTAGGTACCACCACCCCGCCTGTTTCTGCCGTGAAGCAGTAATGCGTTTCGGTTTGAACGGTGGAGCAGCCGTTGTAACTATACTTGAGATCTTAGAACTTATATCTCAAGGTGGGTGGCGTATTTACGTTGTAGATGTCTATGGGCTCCAGTAACCACTTAATACCAGGTGGGCTGTGAGCTCGTCCACCCATCTGAGCAATAAATAAAAAAAAAACGCTTGGCAATGGTCGTGGTCATCATTTCGGGTTGTGGTACGCTTGACCAGACGTCGCCATTGCTCGGAGGAGGAAAGTTATGATATACCCACATAATGTTTCAAAAAAGATGTCTAAGAGTTTTGTGTATGTGATGCTGTCAACAAGCATAAGTTAAAGTTATTCGGTACACAGGTAATTGAACATTATTGAGAGTACTGCCATGTATTATCTTGTTATTCTAGATACGGGGTTGTGGGGACACCCACTCTTAAATGGTTTAACGGAGCCCGTCAACGTCACCTTGAAACATGAGACTGAGATCTCAATTGTCTAATTTTGTTGTATTCGAAATTGTAAT